CTTGTATTAGTTAATTTAGTGTCAGCTTTTTTTTCTTTATGGTGATAAGCAAAATGTTTTTTTTTTTTTTTTTATTTGCAATAACGCATAGCAACTTATTTTACAATTCCCATGATAATATTATTATGGAATTGCCTGACATCGTGAAATCATCACTGTCTAACTCTAAATCTTTTTTTCTTTTTTTAATATTTACCATATTATCTTTCTCTCTATCTCTCCCTCTCCCCTCTCTCTCTTTCTCTCTCTCTCTCTCTCTCNTATACCCTTAAAATTAACCCCAATAATTATGGTGATTAATGATGTATTAATCGTGTCACATTTAAGCGATTGCAGAGTCTTGCTAACCTCATATACCCTTAAAATTAACCCCAATAATTATGGTGATTAATGATGTATTAATCGTGTCACATTTAAGCGATTGCAGAGTCTTGCTAACCTCATATACCCTTAAAATTAACCCCAATAATTATGGTGATTAATGATGTATTAATCGTGTCACATTTAAGCGATTGCAGAGTCTTGCTAACCTCATATACCCTTAAAATTAACCCCAATAATTATGGTGACTAATGATGTATTAATCGTGTCACATTTAAGCGATTGCAGAGTCTTGCTAACCTCATATACCCTTAAAATTAACCCCAATAATTATGGTGATTAATGATGTATTAATCGTGTCACATTTAAGCGATTGCAGAGTCTTGCTAACCTCATATACCCAGAAGCTCAGTGCGGCTTCCAAAGTCGTCGTTTAACTATAAATATGATATTCACATTACGCCAACTACAGGAGAGGCGTCGTGTACAGCATGTTCTTATTTAAATTTCTTTCATAGATCTGACCAAGGCATTCGACTTGGTAAGCCGAAGTAGTCTGTTCAATATCTTGCATAGAATTGGTTTCCCCTACGACTGTCCCACAATCATACAATCATTTCACGAAAACATGCACATCAAAATAACTTTCAATGACGCGGTCTCTGAAGCATTCCCAGTCAGCAGCGGAGTAAAACAAGGCTGTGTACTGTCACCAATGCTCTTATCAATTTTCTTCTCAATGCTTCTATTTGTTGGCTGCACAGGGACTGTGAAGGATGGAGTGTTCATCCATACCGGATCTGACGGAAGGCTGATCAATTTCGCCAGCCTTCGTGCAAAGACCAAGGTAAAAAAAAAAGTACTAGTTCGTGAACTGCTGTTCGCCGATGATGCCGCCGATAACATCGCACACAGAAGGTCTGCAGCGATTAGTTAATCGCCTCTCCCACTCATGTAAAGAGTTTGGACTGGCCATTAGTCTACAGAAAATAAATGTCATGATGCAAGAAGCACAGTCCCCTCTAAAATGACTATTAAGGGCCATAATCTGTTGGTAGTTCAGAATTTCACATAGCTTGGATCCAATACCTGTAGCTCACTCTCCGCTGACGAAGAGGTGAAAATCTAGATCGCAAAAGCAGTAGCAACTATTGCTAAACTGAATAAGCGTGTGTGGAATAATCTTAAACTAACTTAAAGTACAAATCTAAACGTCTGTCGGGTATTCTTGCTTGGTACGCTCATATATGGCAATGAAGTGATAACCACATTTGCCAGCCATGAGCGGAAACTTAACAGCTTTCTTAAAATATGTCTTCGTCACATTGTGCGCATTCGATGGCAGAGCAAATGCTTAACATAGAGGATTTGGAACGTGCAAAAATGTGTAGCACGTTCTCCACTCTTAGCAAGAAATGCCTCCGCTGGTTAGGCCATGTAATGAGAATGAGGCCAAAGGATCTGCTGTATCTGAGTCTTGCCAGAAGAGGCAAACTTATTGGACGGCCGCGATGCCATTTAACCAATTTGCCAAAGGAACACGAGGGAAGCCAACATGGAGATCAACGAATGGAAGATCATTGCGAACAGAAGTGTAAGGGATCAAACAGGCAGAGGGTTTGTGAAACAAACCGCTTGCAACATAAAGGAGCATTACGAAAGACTACATTTATCCAGTATCCAAGGTTTTACTGCGAAAATGGCAGATTGGACTGCCATTCCAGGATCAGCATCGAAAGCCATTTGATGAGGAGTAAACTGCAGCACCATCGTCTCGAGAAGACGAAAGTATGCCATATATATATATATATAATTGTTGACGTCAATTTCTGTTGACTCCTCCCTCCCCTTGTCAATACTTGTCAAACTTTTTCACACCCCCCCCACTATTTTGTAGACGTCATTAATGGACTACCCCATAGTGGGCAAGCTACTATGTACACAAGTTTGTACGTACCACCTTGGAGCAAATAATGACAAGTACCTTAACATTTTAATATAATCATCAACTCACCTGTGAGACATCCTTCACCTGTATATCCGGCCGCACATCCTGAAGCACATCCACCAGTGCTCACGTGACACCCCATCTTACTGTCGGCACAGTTGCACGTGTGTTCACAGTCACGACCATACCGTCCGATTGGACAGATCGAATCTGTCCAAAATAATTTTTATGTCATTTGTACTGATATTATCAACTGATATCACATCAGAATAATCATATGTTAGAATGCTCGATCCTACTGGACTCAAATGAGACTTAAGTCTATTTTAAAAGACCCGACGTTTTAAGTGAGACATGTTGCTTGTAAAATATTATGAACCGCCAACTATTTTAAATTCAGATCGTATAACCTTCAAGTCAAACTACAATCTATCTTTAATAAATTATTTCTTTTTGAAACTACTGATTCAAGACCAGTGCCGGCCTTTAGGGTGTGTGACCAGTGCCCTCGTACAGGGCGTTGTGGCCATAGGGAAGCCTGAGGCGCCCATTAAATATTTCAATTCCCTTAGTTTATTATAGTGAAGTGTGAGCCTCGGGTCCAGGGTCGAGAAGCGGTATTCTAACTTTACGTACACGGCGTGCGCTTAGGGCGCCATCAACGATCCTCCAAAATAGGAAAAAGCATTGCATGTGGACGCCATGGAAGAAAAAGAGAAAATGCAATAAAAAATAGGTATCTAAATACTTGGAAAAAATCTCATCGGTAAGCTAATTGGTCCTGCTGTTCAAATACAAGTTACAGAAACAATTTTATTGTTCATTGTTCATTAAAAAAAAACAACATAGGTTATAAACTCATTACCAAAATACTAGTTTTCTCGTTAATGATTATACTTAAAAAGGGGGGGGGGCAAAGTTAAGCTTACACAGGGCGCCAGCAACCGTCGGCCCGGCCCTGACAAGAGCATCAGAGCGCTGTGACCATGCTAAAGTAGCATGGATAAAAGTGCTATATAAATATTCAATTTAATTGCAGTTGTTTACTAATTACTAAGATTCAGGTGACGTAATCAGCGTCAAATTACCCACACATCTGAAAGGGATTACTCCAAGGTTGAGCCAAAATATGATCGATTTTTTACAAAGAACACATTGATTTCATCATCATCTTATTAGAAATGTTTGGTGGGGGGGGGGGTAAAAAATTTGATATTATCGGGGGGGGGGGTGTGAATAAAAAATTTGATATTATCGTGAAATGGTCGTTTCTTGTATGTTGAAATGTGCAGTTTCAACAAAGAAATATTCTTAATTTTTTTTGTCATCACCACTTTACAAAAAATATTATTTGGTCAAACAAGAAGCGTCGATAAAATCAGGAAGTGGGAAAACTGTCTGCTCACTTCTTATCTACCTTCCTGGACGCCACTGAAAACGAGGTTCTCAAACAGGCGTACAAAAGGAATACGTCATTAAAGTTTATTTGTATGTTTTTAAAAAATTAATGTATGCAAACTAACTTATTTCTTGTAAAAAAAAAATGATAATTAAAAATAGAAAAAAATTAATTAAAAAAAAAACACTTTAATTATCGCTTTTAGTCTGTAACCAATAACATAACTTAGATAAAAGATGGTGCCGACTGACAGCGATTTTAACAAAAGAAAAATGTGCACATAAAAAAAAAAAAGTGGTTGGGGAAGGGTCGGGTAACTCACCTCCGAAAACTTCGACTTCGCACAAATTTAGAATTTTCTCTTCATTCCTTCCCTGTATTGTCACGCGTGCTATCTGTTTACCCACACCATCCTCGTGCATGACTGTATATAGATCATTAACCTCCCAAGACGGGCTCTGATAGTAGTCAAAAACGCTCCTGTTGCGCGCGTTGTAGCTGGTCAATTGAAAGCCTTTGAGTCTATCTCGATTGTGTTCGTCTGCGGAGTAGATAAAATATAAATGCATAAATGCGTTGGGAGTTTTTATTTATATATTTCTTCATAAATTGGGAAAAGAATACCGTTAATGTCGCAGAGATTTTGATGTTAAAAAAAAAATTGTGAAGAAACTAATTAGTCTGTGTCATAGCAAAAGTGTGTGTGTGTGCGTGTGCGCGGAGGTGGGCGGGACTTATTTCCCTTTGTTCACTGACGGGTGGCATTTTCTGCCAACTGCAGAGTTATTTCGTGGACGGGGGTGGGGGAGATTGAAAAAGTCCCCGTCCCTGACGGCGCTAACCCTAGCTACACCACTGTATTAAATCAAATTATTTCTCTAATTTTCAACAACATATCATCATTGCATACAAGTCATATCAATGGTCTCTACCAATTTTGTTTTGAAGAGCTTGGTGAAAATCAGTTAACGTTAAAACTGAAGGGACCGAAATATTTCTTCGTGTTAAACGATGCATACAAAAAATACACTCACCAAAATAGATGTCAAGTCCACATCTAATGGACTTGGATAATTGGCTACATAGTAATTAATAGTTTTACTCAAAATAACCTTTAGACAGATATTAATGAATAAGATCTTTGAAATATTAATACATCTATTAATAGGATATTTCATCTCCTATTTTTATGATTAGACCATACATATAGTTTACGTGACCACCTCTTCTGTTGTAAATTCTGTATCTGTTCACTACATGAAGTCTAGAGAGCCTCACTGTCCAAGATGGTGTTTGACGCTTGCTGTCGGTGTGTGTGCAACTTTTCTGGTCAAAGTAACCGTTGGTGTTGCCATCTACAGCGTTTTCTGATCTCGAATAATCAGATGTGTTTAAATGAAAGTAAGTACCGGTCTGTTCGGTGCGTTGTCTCAGAGCGATGTTACGACCTAAGAGACAAAATATAAATGGGGATTTATGGCATTGGTAATAAAGTGAGTAGAAGATTTCAAAGTTTTTACTTTCAATTCTTTAATATACTCGTTATAATAATGAGTTAAAAAAAAACTATCTTAAGGTTTATATTAAATTTTTTTAAATGTAGAAGAAACGTAAATGTTTTAAAATTTTTTAAAATTAATTTAAACAAAAAAATGTTCTGCTGAAGTTATTGAATTTTAAAAAAATTCAATTTTATGTTTTAGTCACTGCAACTAAGTTTTTCTCTAAATGGAAAAAATGTTCAGTTATCTCTTTCTTTCTCTCTTTCTCTCTCTCTGCCTTTCTCGCTTTCTCTCTTTCTCTCTCTCTCTCTCTCTCTTTCTCTCTCTCTTTCTCTCTCTTTCTCTCCCAGCGTTAGGTCCAGACGTACACTTTGAATTTTATATATTCTGATGACTACTCTTATTCATTTTATATATTATCCACCTTTGAAAACAATTTATTACACCAGGCCAGAGAGAGCCTATAAAATGAGCTTTAGTCAGGATAAGGTAAACGAACAAATGGAATCACTTTTACACGTAATTAGCTTACCATAGTAGATGTTAAATGTTGTTAGACTTACCTCCGCTGACGTATACCGAACAGAGAGGAGTTTGACTCGACCACTTGAGAATGATGGCCTTAATTCCCGTGTGCACATCACAATGTATATCAAGTACTCCATGTTTAGCTATACTGACATTCCCGTTGCCACACTTTATTGTAGGTGAGCGCAAAGTCTTATAGAATTCAACACTGACTTGATTTTGGTCAACTGTAGAAGATTCAATAACACTTGAGCAGAACATTTTTTTTTTCTTTTTTAAATTAATAAAAAAAAAACATATACGTTTCTTCTACATTTGAATGATTTTGCGCCATAGAGCGCTTTACTACCCTCCTGTAGAGTCTTTATTTGCGTAATAAATTTTAATAATTTTATTTTAATTCTTTAAGGGCGATTAGCCTCGTCATTGAAAGGTAACGTGTTTCTTAAAACGTTATATATATATATATATCACTATATATATTATACCATTCTGACGTTTGTTTATTAGTCCAACACAGCACCTGTGTGCCCTAATAGTTATTTGTAGTGACGTATATGTCAGGGTATAACAGATAATATAAGGGACTGCGTTCAAGCATTGTGAAGTCAGTAAATAATGGAGCCAGATATTTTTTGGCTTGAAAAGCAAAGACAAGACAATGAAACGGACGCTACGGGTCGATGCCTTCTTCAGCAGACAATACAATATACAACACAATTAAGTTAAAATTATATGTTTGAATCAAATTTAAGGTAAAGAAATAAAAATTATACATTAATTTTTGCTTTCTTCAAAAAATTGATATGGAAATTATATATATATATATATTTGAGATATATTTGTTGTGGTTGCATCTTTCTGTTGTATATATATTTCTTTCTTTGAGGTATATTTGTTGAGGTTGCATCTTTTTGTTGTATATATATTTCTTTCTCTGAGGTATATTTGTTGTGGTTGCATCTTTTTGTTGTATATATATTTCTTTCTTTGAGGTATATTTGTTGAGGTTGCATCTTTTTGTTGTATATATATTTCTTTCTCTGAGGTATATTTGTTGTGGTTGCATCTTTTTGTTGTATATATATTTCTTTCTCTGAGGTATATTTGTTGTGGTTACGTCTTTTATATATAATATTGTTAGTTGACCTCGGGCTTAAATTAAACAATCCCTAAAAACCACATGTTTCGTTAAATCCTTTATAAATGTTATATCGAGCAATGGGGAGATGGGGTTAAAGATTTGATAAAACATACATACAGGTAACTCACTTTATTAGAATCCTAATTAAAGCCCCCCACCCCCCACTGGCTCGCAGCCGCACATTTTTTCACGCCCCTGAACTATAATAATATTGATCCACCTGCTCTTAAACCGCAGATTAATTGGATGAACTATTTAAGAAAAACAAAAGATAATATTACGCGCCAATCACACTTGTGATATTCTTTTAAGAATCTCATTTAGAGCAGTGAACTGGAAATTTCATTTGATCTTCCCTTTAAAAAACAGGAAAAACGGATTTTTTGGGGGTTGGGGCTGAAACTAGAATATTTTGTCATCAGCAAAGAGTCTATATGCCAATTTCAACTATATAGTTCGACAGGAAGTGAGTCAATTAGCCGTCCGAAGATTTTGCTAGCCAGCCAGCCACCCACAAATAAAAGCGAAGTTAATACAAAGGATTTAAAAAGAGATTTGGTGATTCACGTTAAATGATAGTTAGTTTTTTATGACACTGTCAGAGTTTAAATTTTTTTAAATTTAAAACACATAGTCGCCAATTATTTTTATTGGAGACATCCTTGTATTACAGTAGAGATATATTACTCAGCCCCCCCCCCCCCCCCCAAAAAAAAAAAAAAAAAAAAAAAAAAAAAATAAAAATTTTTATGACACTGTCATATTTTAAATTTTTTTAAATTTAAAACACATTGTAGCCAATTATTTTTATTGGAGACATCCTTTTATTAAATTAGAGAAATATTACTCAGCCCCCCCCCCCCCACCCAAAAAAAAAAAAAAGATAAAAAATGAAATTTAGAATTTAAAGGAATTAGTAATGTATATGGTTTTATGAAGGATAAACATACCTTTCAATAAAAACGGAGTCACATTTACATATTAAGGAACTGTATTCTATAAACCAGTGGTTTAATATTTGTGTCAAGAAGACTTGAAGCTTTTCATTGGGGAATAGAAGCGATGTAGCGCGTTTTCAAATAACTGTAATAGTTTGAACGTCTACTTTATTCAGATTTCATACGAACTGACCGTGATTTTTAAAATTCAGCCTCATCCAGGTAAAAGGTATTGATGTGTTCCATTCTATTTGCACTTCTGCTGTTTCAAGGCATGTTGCTTCGTCTCCATCGAATAATACTTCGGAACCGCTCTTACTGAGCTGCCCAATATCTTCTGAAAGCAGAGCATTGGAGATTTGATCTGTTTACGTACGTCAAGCGATATAAGACTTTAGGAATTTTACGAAACAAAGAATGGGGGAAACCTGAAAAAAAAAAAAGAACGCAACAAAACAACAATGATTCCTCTCGATGTCCATTCGGATACAACATTTCTGATAGGTGTTACTTTTATTCAACTATGTTGTTGCTGTTGTTTGTTCGCTGATGAAGTCTTCTTGGCGACACGTTCTTTGTTTTCTTGCGTTATTTTTTTCTTCTTCCCAGGTTGTCCCAAACTTTGTTTCACTTATTTCCTCCTTTGCCAACCTGATCGCAGTCTCTCCTCGCTTTTACTATAAGACTTTAGGAAATACCCGTATGTTACAAACCGGGAATTATCAGTTCAATGGCTTCGTTGTCCAGGGATAAAAATTACGATTGATTAAACGGATGGCTGATTATAATCTACATCTTAATGAAAAAACAAATTGTATCAGGTCGATGAAATTAAGTCTATTTCCTTTCTAAATAATAAATTGTGGGTTATATTTGCACTATGTCACATAATTGCCTTGCTTAGAATGGGTTGCAATGCTTTGTACAAGATCCTTCATCTTTATTTTTAAGTGTAATTTATGATGTGTTAAGTTTTAAATATAAAAAGTCCTATTAACATCAATTAGAACTCAACGGATTTTATGCTGCCTCACCTACCACACGCCGAGCAAGTAAGCTTCATGTTTAAATTTAGCCATATAGCCATATGGCATTACATATAATATGACTACGCGTTTATCTGCGTGTTAATTAATCATCCTTGGTTCAAACATGTACACACATTCGGATAGAGCAAACGATTCACTCACCGTACTGACACTGTGGACCGAACCATCCTTTGGCACAGCCATGTGGACAATTTCCGTCACGTGTGCACTGGTTTTGTTTACAGTGGCATTGGTATTTGCACAAAGGACCAAACCAGCCATCGCAAACTGTTGGGGTGAATACGAGATCTGACATGATACATACCAACGTATGTGTTGCTAATATAAATTCTCATGGTAGAATGTATTTCTGTACAGAACGCTCACTCAATAATTGAAACTGAAGAAAATATATTCCTTATGTATTCAGATTAATCCTTAACCAACAGTCAAATTTACATTAATGAAAACTAAACAACCTCTAAAAACAAGTTTTGTTCATATAAATCTTTTATATGCATTTTTCTTTGCCTTTATATAACTGTACGTGATTTATCCTATATGTGATTGTAGCAAGGCTGTCTTGCAGCAGCGGGGGGGGGGGCTGGAAAAGTAATGCCCCAAGCCCCCAGATCCCTTTAAATACTGAGGATCTTGCGAAGGAGGGTGTTGAAGAGGGCCAATCACCCTTAGCGCCAAAGTAAGTGGTGGTGAATCAAACGATAAAATTATACATACTTCACTTAGTCATGGGCATTAAAAATCTTCTTACAAGGTATGGGAATGTATAACTTTTTTCAACCTTAGTACATGTAAAATCTAAGAGACTAAATATATCTTTAAGGTCACACATACAGAGCACATCAGAGCAACATCTTCACAATTCATCTCCAGAGCAAAACGCGCAACCGTTGAACAAAACATTAACATTCTTATCATTGCCCCTGAAAAACAAGAAAAACTGATTAGAAAATATAATAGATATTTTCACCAGCTCACCTTCCCGACATGCTTCACCTGTAAATCCAGGAGCACATCCTGAAGCGCATCCACCGGTACTCACGTGACACGCCTCCGTACGGTTGGCACAGTTACACGTGTGCTCACAGTCACGGCCGTACTGTCCGAATGGACAGATTGAATCTGTCAGAAATATTACGGCATTTGATTTTATATCACATCAGAATGAGCTGGCGGTTAGAATGATCGGTCTTTTTCGATTCCCTTTTTTTAAAGGGACCCGCGTTTACGAGAGACCGGTGGTTTTGAAAATATCACGAAGCACGAACAATTATAAATTCAGTTCTTCTTCTTCTTCTATATCTTAAGGGCCCACGATCAATTTATTGATCATTTTGGCTCCTATGCATGTAGATGGGATTTGCAATGTTTCTGTTACTGGTGTTGATGAGGAAATCATGCACTAGGGTTTGAAGGCTTGAGGCAATAGACACACGATGTTGAATTAAACACAAGATTGTTTTCATGTCATTCCTTGAATGTGCCGATGTGTTCATCCTACCTTTCGTTGACTTGGCCAACACACAACAACCACCTGTTCTACACAAGTAATCAGAGGCACGGAATTCAGTGGCTCCATCGAGGTATGTCAGACGGTAGTTGTTGGGTATCTTGGCGTGCTTGATCCTGCACGAAGCTCTGTTGATGTTGTGGCAGTGCTCGACACGAACACACTTGCAGGGCTTCTCGTCGAGGTGGATTGGGCTCTGGGGCTTTTTACACACCAGGACTTGCCCCAGTGTCGCCTCTGTGCCATCTCGAAACACCAAGACCTCGGTGGCAGGTACGCAAGTGTATTCCTGTCTAACAATGTCACAACACGCCATTCTTTTGGATTAGTTTGTTTAAAATTTGGGTTGAATACACTGCAACACTTCTCCACCGGGCGACCTTATCTTTTGCCAGTTTGTGCAACGATACTGCAATAAATGTAGTCTTAAAAACTATTTGCTTAAAAAAACTACTAATAGATAGTTGGCAGCAACGAATAACGTGACGTTCTCAGCGTAATGTTAGCTACACATCTGACAACTAAGGTAGACCCAAAATTTCCATTTTTTTAAAAAAAAGAACACTTTTATGTTTTTATCTTCATATCATATACATTTTAAAGAGATATCGGATATTATCATGCAAAGGCTTTTTCTTCTACGTTTAGGCAATCAGTTGGAGGCAGAGATTTTCTGGAATTGTTTTGTCATGAACACTTGTAAAAAAACACTCAAGCTGCCAAAGATTAAACGTCGATAAAATTCAGGAATTGAAAACTATCTGCTCACTTCGTGTCTACCTACCAACAAGTCATTCAAAACGAGCTTCTCAAAGAGGCATCACAACTGAATACGTCATTTTCGATTTAATATATATATATATATATATATATATATATATATATANTTTCTATGACTAAAATAAAAAATTCAATCCCGAATCGGGCTTACCTAACGATCTATAATCATAAAAAAATGGATTTCGGGGAGGTTGGGGGGGGGGGGTTAAACTCACCTCCGAAAATTTCGACTTCGCACAAATTGAGAATGTTTTCTTTATTCATAACCTCTATTGTCACTTGTGATACCTGTTTACCCACACCATCCTCGTGCATGACTGTATATAAATCGTTAACCTCCCGAGGTGGACTGTGATAGTCAAAAACAATCTTGTACAGAGCGTCGTAGCTGGTTAAGTTAAAGCCTTTGAGTCTATCTCCCTTTGCTTGGTCTGCGGAGCAGAAAATTAAATGATTAGGAAGTTATTCTTTTGTTGTTTTTTTTCAAAACAAAAATATAAATTGGGAATAGAGTATAGTTAATGCAAATGTCATAGAAATCTCTGCAGAGATAATGATGTTGAAATTAATGTAAAAGAAACATTATAAGCATTGCACAAGAGGTGCGGGGGTGTGGAGGGGCGGCACTTATTTTGTTGTTACTGAGAGGGGGAATTTTTTGCCAACTAAAGAGTTGGGTTTTTTTTCTTTGAACCCTAGCCACACCTACTTCTTTAAATTGTATATCCTTTAACTTATATATGCAGTGGCGTAGCGAGGGGGGTGCGGACCGCACCGGGTGACACCGTTTTAGGGGTGACACCCAATTGAAAAATTGCATATTTACAGACCACACTCTGCTCGGTCTAACCGAGATTCATAAAAGGATAACCGATCACACAAAAATTTTTTCACAAATTTAACCAGTCCAAATGCGTGCTTCATTAAAAGTTCAAGGTTGATGCGTCAGAAATGAGATGACCCTATGTGTAGGTCAGAAAAACACAGTCATTATTCCATGCCGATTAAAATGTTTGGCAACTTCCGTAAGTGACAGGAGGCTATATTTATCTAAATTCTGAGAAATATGACGTTTCATTGATGCCAAATACGGTGTGGTCGAGCTATTCAAGTATAAGAATCGGTAAAAATGAAAAACATTAAAAATGAATTTTTACCCATTCATAGGGTTAAAAAATATATTATTTTACAAACTGTCAATCTTTTAATGATCAATTCTTATTTATTGAACTTTAAATAAAGAAAAGTTTTTTGAAGACATTTATAATATATATATATATCGAAACCCAGGAACACTAAACAATTAATATTTTCCCCGATTCGTCACTAGTATCGCCCAATAACATTGGAGCACGATTGTCATATTTCGACAGCTGGGTTTTACCTGCTACCTTTCTGTTTTGTATTTTGGACAATGCTCTGACTGTTCTTTTTGAACTGTCTTCAGTAATTGTAACACATCTACTCTGACATGGCGTGGGAGCTTATTTCTTATGCTGTGGGTTATGTCAGTAGTATGGTTACTTATGTTATGTTGATATTTCAGGATGCCGACTAAGGCTTCTTCATTCTTCCACTTATTATCCGGGCACGCAAATAAGAATACTGAATCCTGGTTAAACTTACAGTACTTTATTGAACACACTTTATACTGATAATATTAATAAATAATCCTTGCATGAATGTAATTTCACATATATATCTATAGTATTCCATCATTAAGAAAGACACGTCCTCACACTACTGTCAACTCAGCTCAACTGTCCTATCACACAGCTCTCACGCTACTGTTCTCTACTGCTCTGCGCTCAGCTCTCACTATCTCAGTCAACTCATACTTTATTACCAGCAAAGCGTGGAAAACAACCGCTCTGACAAAAACATAATTTTACTCTCCAAAAACGTGGAGTTCACATTTGCATCTCAAAATACAATCCATTGATTGTCTCTCCCCGTGGAAAAACATGGTCAACACAATTCACTGTTCACTCATGCTACCTCTCTGTTTTCATGTGAAAACATAGTCCGTTACATGCCCCACCCATCTGAAAAAATTTTGTGCAACAAAATTTTTGGCATTATATGTTGAAATAATGATAATGTCTCTTAGAAAATTTCAATCCCACATCTATCAATCAAATAAATGTAACAACATTAACATTTCATCATTATGAAATACAGGGCATTTGACTGTTAATATCACACATAATAGTGAATCATTTACCCTGGCAAAAAATTAAAAAATCACCAATGACAACCTCTTAAAATCTTTATGTATGATAATGTGAAGTGACATTAACATCTTAATGAATAATAAACACTGCAAAATGAATGTAACAACCTTAAATTTTGCATTAGAAGATTTACAATTGGTTAAAATCTGATATTCATTTACAAAATTGATATGTACAAGTGTCTTATCAAAAAAATGATTGAATATGTATTTTAATGCTCTTCATTTTATATTTAACCTTAATGTTATTGTCTTGTACAATCTTAAGAGAAAGTTGATGACCAAGAATGTAAACAATTTATACAATAGTTCTGTATTGACAATTACTATATTTGAAAAAATTTTGCTCTTAACAGCTAATAATTGATTTAGCACAAGTGTTGGTTAGCTAACATGGAATGTTAAGTATTTCTCCTCACTGAAGAAAATGACAATTGTGATCTGTTATCTCTTTGTCTATCTCTTTCCATAAAATTGTTATTTGCAGTTGTGTAATGTTCTTCTTGAAACTTGTTTTCTCTGTCTTTTATTTCATTTTTGAATTTTTCAGCCTGTCTATATTGTTGATGAATATTTCTTGAATTTAGTCTAAAAATGTGTTTTGCCCTGTCTGATTTTTGTTCTGTATATGTTTTATTAAGAATTCGTTTGTTATGTTGTCTTGTTATGCTATGTGTTGGATTCATGTTTAAATGTCTTCCTCTTATCCCTTCTGTTATTAGATACTTAGTGTTAT